GCCGGCGCGCCCGCGCCCCAGCGCCGCAGCACCTGCAGCAGCACCTCCACCGCCGGCGGCGTCACGGCCGCCAGCGCGTTGCGCTGCGGGGAGCGGCATCGTGATGGCTTCACACCGCTCCAGCACCCAAAATCCCCTTGTTTCAGCCCGAGGCGTTCCCACCAGCACCCAAAATCCCCTTGTTTCAGCCCACCAAGATGCTCCCACCAGCTCCCCACGTGCTACGGATGCAGCCACCAGCTGCAAACCAACCTGCAGCGTGCGTTGGAGCGGCTCGCTCCGAGCTTGCTGCAACACTGAGCTAATTCTAGCGTGGTTTTGCTCCGCGTGGATTTAGGGAGCTGCTCGGAGCTGCGATGCTGGTGCTTAACCAGGGACCTTTCCCTCAAGGGTATCTCAAACCACTCCCGGCTCAAGCCGCGACCCTTTGTGGTGAATTTGGGCCCGCATTTCCCGTGCCGTTTGGGGTGGCTTTTGCAAAACCAATGGGTTGGTGCCCGGGGAGCATCTCCCACCCGGCGGGGATTTGGAGCCTGATTTCCGGCCCTGTGAAACGCTCCGTAACGAATGGACCCGGGGGAATGCAGCCGCCACGGCCCTTGCTGCTACCTTGTCTCCGGAGAGGATGGCTCCGAAAAGATGGATGAGCCGGAGCTGGAGGGCATCCGGGAGCTGCACGCTGGCTTGGAAACTCTCTGTGAGAGGAGAGAGGATAAGATGGAAAATAAAAGCCATATATCTGCTCTGGGGTCATGTACCTACACCCGGATGATGTAGCTGTCCCTGGGGCAACATATCTGTTCCCAGATCCATATATCTGTTCCCACTCCATATACCTGTCCCGGGGGGGTCACATACCTTGGAACAAGGTGCCGAACTCGGGGGGCAGCACGGCAGGGCTGAACTTGTACTTGCTCTTCTCCGTGGCGCTGACCACTTCCCTGCAAGCAGAGGGATCCGTGGACATCCATTCCCGCCAGGATGCCGGTGCCCATTCCGGCCGGGATGCCGGTGCCCACGGCGGGCGCCGCTCACCCGCTCAGCTGCCGCCTCCACGTCTGGTAGGGGTCCAGGAGGCACTCGCAGAGGTGCAGCGCGTAGGTGACCGCGCTCTCCAGCGCCGGCAGGGCGCCGGGCTCCGGGGCGCTTTGCAGCTGCCAACGGGGAAAAGGAAAAATAACCCATGGAAGGATGAGGCCGTGGGAGCGTCCCGTGGGAGCAGCAGGGATGCGGCGCCTCTGCACGCTCACCTGGTGCACGCAAGCGCGCAGCAGGCCCAGCACCTCCGGCATGAAGCTGGGCGTCTTGTCGCTCCGCACGTTTTCCAGGTTCCTGGAGGATGACGGAAAGCAAAGGGGAGAGGAAAGGGGGTGAGCGTGGCCAAAGGAATCCCTAAAATCACCTCTTCTGGGAAAAGCTGAGCCGGTGACCTGGGGCACCCTGTGCTGGGGCTCGTTCTGGGTGTCCTCCTTCCAATACAAAGAAGTTGCCCAAATTTTCCCAAACTGCAGAGGTGTCTGATTTTTCCCAAACTGGCCCTTTTGCAGGGCTAAATCCGCCCCCACTCCGGAGCTATCCGTCCCCACTCCAGAGCTATCCGCCCCCACTCCGGAGCTATCCGTCCCGGCTCCAGGGATCACCATCCCGGCCTTATCTCCAGCTCGCAGACACCCACGGGAAGCGGAGGCGGGAGGGGGAAACGCGGCTTGGCGCGGCCCCGGGCCGGTGCCCAATGCGCCGCGGTGCCGTACAAACCGCTGCTCACCGCCTCTTCCCGCCCGGACCGGGGGGACACCGAGCGGCCCTACCTGGAGATGATGATGAAGAACTTGAGGAGCAGCAGGGCCTGGGCGAGCGGGGCGGCGTTGGCGTCGCCGCGGGCCACCTGCGCCGCGCACTGGCCCAGCTGCTGGCTCAGCACCTGCAGCACCTCGCGCGGCAGCAGCGGGGTCTCCGAGGGCGGCTCCTCGGGCCTGCGGGCGGGCGGGAGATGGATGGGGCCATGGGCACCACGGTGGCATCGTGATGGGCACCGCGGCGGGCACCACAACGGCACCGTGGCGGGCACTGCAATGGGCACTGTGATAGGCATTGCAGTGGGCATCACGATGGCACTGGGATGGGTAGGATGACGGGCACCGTGATGGGCACCGCAACGGGCACTGTGACGGGTACCACGACAGGCACTGTGATGGGCACTGCGATGGACACTGTGACGGACACCGTGAGAGGCACTGCAATGAGCACTGCGATGGCACTGGGATGGGTACCATGACGGGCACCGTGATGGACACCGTGATGGCGCTGCGACGGGCACTGCGATGGCACCGTGATAGGCACCGCAATGGGCATCACGATGGGCATCATGATGGGTACCATGATGGGCATCACGATGAGCATCGTGATGGGTACCATGATGGGCACTGTGGCGGCACCACAATGGGCACCATGATGGCACTGAGATGGGCAGTGCAACAGGTACCGCGACGGCAACGTGATGGGCATCATGATGGGTACCATAATGGGCATCGCGACAGGCACCACAATGGGCATCACGATGGGCACCATGATGGCACTGCGCTGGGCACCATGACAGGCATCGCGATGGTAACGTGATGGGCACCGTGATAGGAACACAACGGGCACTGCGATGGGCTCTGTGATGATACCGCAGCAGCCACCGCGACGGCAATGTGATGGACACCGTGATGGGCATCGCGATGGCACCGTGATGGGCACTGCCATGGCACCGTGATAGGCACCGCAATGGGCATCACGATGGGCATCACGATGGGCACCGTGACGGGCACTGTGATGGCACTGTGACGGCAACATGATGGGCACCGTGACGGTACCGTGATGGGCACCGTGACGGCAAGACAACGGGCACCGCAATGGGCACCGTGACGGGCATCGCGATGGTAACGTGACGGGCACCGCGACGGCCACCGTGATGGCATCGGGACGGTACCGTGATGACACCGTGGTGGGTACCACGGTGCGCACGGCGACGGGCACGGCGGCGGGCGGGCGGGCTCACCTGCGCGGCTCCAGCGAGTGCACGGCGATGGCCTTCTCGAAGTGCATCACGAAGGCCTCCAGCCACTGCCGCAGGTAGCCCAGGTCCTTCTGCAGGGAGGGCACGGCGTGAGCGGCGCTTTGGGGGTCCCGGCAGCCCCCCAAAACGGGTACCCTGGGCTGGGGGCTGCCGGGCAAGCAGGGCACCCCCCCACGCCTGGCACTGGCCAATCAGCACCTCGAGCATCCCGCTGCGCTGAGCTGTTGGCCAATGAGAACTCAGAGCATCCCCCTGCCCCGAGGCACCGGCCAATGGGCACCTAGAACATCCTTCTGCACCGAGCTGCTGGCCAATCAGCACCTAGAGTAACGCACTGCTGAGTCCCCAGCCAATCAGCGTGCAGAGCATCCCCCCTGCCCTAAGCCAGCAGCCAATCAGCACCCAGTGTAGCCCACCACTGAGCTGCCAGCCAATCAGCACTCAGCATAGCTCGCTGCCTCGAAAGCCTCTAGCCAATTGGCCTAGAGAGCACCCTGTCCCCTACAGACAGCAGCCAATCAGTGACAAGTGTGGCCTCTCCTCCATCTCCCCCCAAAGGTGCTGGCCAATCAGCATCAAGCAACAGACTAACACCCCAAAACCTGGCCAACCAGCACACAGAGCATCTTGAACCTCAGGAACCGCTGGCCAATCAGCACGCGCAGCAGCCCAGCTCCTGAAACCACTGACCAATCAGTACGTCAAGCAGTCCAACCCACGGAGCTGCTGACCAATCAGCACGCAGAGCAGCCTGCCCTGAGCAGCCGCTGACCAATCAGCACGCGGAGCTGCTGCTCCGCCAGCCGCCGCCAGCCAATCAGGGCACGCGTGGGTACAGGCACCCGGCCCCGTTGCACAACCGCCAGGCTGCGCCGGTGGCGCAACACCGGGATTCACACCCGGCAGCGCACAGGCGGCCGCGACACCCCGCGGTGGGCACAGCACCCCGGGTGACCCCAACACCCTGGGGTGACCCCAACACCCTGGGGTGACCCCCAGCACCCTGGGGTGACCCATGTCCCTGTGCAACCCGGGTGACCCCCAACACCCTGGGGTGACCCCCAACACCTTGGGGTGACCCATGTCTCTGTGCACCCCCAAGTGACTTCAACACCCTGGGGTGACCCACGTCCCTGTGCACCCCTGGGTGACCCCCAACACCCTGGGGTGACCCCCAACACCCCGGGGTGACCCACCTCCCTGTGCACCCCTGGGTGCCCCTCAACACCCTGGGGTGACCCCCAACACCCCGGGGTGACCCACGTTCCTGTGCACCCCTGGGTGCCCCCCAACACCCTGGGGTGACCCGCAACAACCTGGGGGGGCCCAAAACACTTTCGGGTGATCCTCGACCCTGTGCACCCTCGGGTGACCCACAACGCCCCGGGGTGACCCGCAACGCCCCGGGGTGACCCACAATGCCCCGGGGATCCCCACATCCCCGTGCGGCACCTGGGGGATTCCCTGTGCACCCAGGCGGCACCCTGGGACGTCCCGCGTCCCCATGCAGCACCCTGGGGATTCCCGCGTCCCCGCATGTCCCTGCAGCACCCCGGGGTGTCCTGCGTCCCTGAGCATCCCATGTGGCACCCTAGGGTGTCCTGTGTCCCCACGGAGCACCCAGGGGCATCCTGCATCCCTGCACATCACACACGGCACCCTGGAATGTCCCACATCCCCGAGCGCCCCACGTGGCACCCTGGGACATCCTGCATCCCCATGCAGCACCCTGGGGCTTCCCGTGTCCACAAGCACCCATGTGTCACCCCGGGGTGTCCCTGTGGAGCACCCAGAAGCGCCCTGCATCCCTGCACATCCCACATGACCACCCAGGATGTCCCACGTCCCTGAGTGCCCCACACGGCACCCTGGGACATCCTGTGTCCCTCTGTCGCACCCCAGGGTGTCCTGTGTCCCCAAGCGTCCCACGCAGCACCCCAGGGTGTCTTGCACCCCCATGCAGCACCCTGGGGTGTCCCACGTCCCCCCCATCCCCATGCAGCACTTTAGGGCATCCCGCATCCCCACAGGCCACCCTGGAGCATCCTGCATCCCGATGCAGGGTATCCCACATTCCCAAACACGCGGCACTCCAGGATGTCCCCGCACGGCACCCCAGGGTGCCCCACGTCCCCACGCAGCACGCCAAGCACCCGCAGGGAACCGCGGCCGCCGCGTCCCCCCGCTCCGGGTCCGGTATTCCCGGCGGTACCTGATCCCGCGGCGGCTCCATCGCCGCCGGCCGAGCCCCGTGGGGCTCCGGGAAGCGGCGCCGGGAAGGGGAAACGGGAGCGCGCAGCCGGACCGGCCCCGGCGGGGGGACCTTGCTGTTTTCTACCGTTTTTTTTTTTTTCTTAAAAGGTCTTGTGCAAAATTAAGTGAAAAAAAGCGAGTCAGGAAACGCCGAGTCA